TAAAAATTTTATTAGGATTTGCACAGGGTATACTGATTTTTTACTGTAAAATGTTTCCTCTTCATGCTTCAGTTTGTGATTTAATTGTATAACAAATTTGATGCTTTAGATTTTTATATTTCATATCTGTCCATTTTAAAAAAAAATAAGCATGAAGTAGTATGTTGTCTTCCCCCTCCACTTTAATCTTCCTCTCAGGTATGTATGAAACAGCACTTCACTTGTTGCTCATGAACAGTAGGAGAAAGTCTCTGACCCCTTGTGTTCAATTTAGAGAAGTAGAATACAGATTATGACAAGTAATGAATTAAAGTTTTGTATCACACTTTGTTGCCACAATTAAAGTCCGAAGTTCAAAATTCAGGATATAGTTTAGTGGTCATGGTAGTGTTGGGTTGATGACTAGGTGATCTTAGAGGCCTTTTCCAACAGTAATGATCCTGTGATTTGGATGAGATGGCGAATAGAGTTGAAAGCCCAGATTGTACAGTAGATTCATAAATGATTTCATGCACACAAAAATCTCAAACTAAGCAGTGAGTTCAGGTAGAAGCTGGTAATAGCATTTGGCTGTCGAAGAATTTTAGAACAATTAGGTCTGATAGTGTATCCAGAGTTTATTTTTGCCTCCAAGGCAAGGCTAGTAATCTCTTAAAGCTGTTTATATAGCCTTTTAAAAATTTGCCTTTAAAAACCTACTCATTGTGATTCCATGAACAGATTCCCTCAGCAATTAATGTGCTTATTATTTTCCATTGACAAGTATTCTGTTCACCACTGTATCTTTTATTACTACAATTTATGATACTATGAGCTATTTTGCACCCCATTATTTCTTGACCACAGGGATAAGGAAAATAGTTTGTACCCATAAATTTACATGGGTACATTTATAATCTGGAAGATTTTTAATTGTCTTTGTTTTTAATTTTCTTTAGGCAACATTGTGTGACTTCCTGCCTTTCCTCATATGAGATGTTTTATAGATTTCTCTATTCTCAAGGTCTAGTCCAGTATATGTCTATTGAATCCTTTTGCCTGAAGGCAAGAAAAAACACTTCAGGTGAGCCTTAGGAATACAGAGAGAATGGGAGATTGCTCTTCTGGATGCTGCTCCCTCTTACATGTCCCAGGGTGATGCTTGTTTGTTCATAAGACTGTGATAGTATGTTTAGTTTGTGATTCACTGCTACATCCCATGCATTTTCTGCAACAGTGCTGCCTAGCCAGTGACTCCTTGTTTAGGAGATTATTCTTGTATGTATGCAGAGCTTTGCATTTTTTATATCCTCTTTTTTTTCCTGAGCAGTGCTGCAGTTTCTGGACATTCAGAAGAACTTAATAGAACTTAAGTACTGTCAGTGATGGACTAGGTATATTACCTATCTCTATATAAACCATTGAAGAAAACGTTGGATAGTGCTGGCCCTGGGACAGCAAGCTGCTTACATAAATTATCTTTCTGCTTTCAGAGAATTGCTACTCTTTCAGTACAGTTTGCCAATTATTTTTATCACTTATATTGCAGCAGTTTCATAAAGATAATTTCTTTTTTTTCCCATAATGTGGCTGATAGTGCATTTGAAATTTCTTTTTCTTCCTGTTGTTCCTCCCACCTATCTGTCTTTCTACAGAGGTAGATCCCTTAACCTTGAGCAGCAATGTCTACATCCATCTTTATTAGCCAGTGGATAGAATCAACTGACACACACAGTTTGCTGGTTCTTAAATTTACTTTCTTAATTGCCTATATCTTTGGAATTAAAGTAGGAAAAATAATTACATTTCTAGACCTATGGCAAAGATCTACAGATCAATAAGAAATATGTGGCATTAAAACAAGTAAAATATTTTGGGTTCTAGCTCACACATAATCTTACTGAATGATTGCTATAGATCTTGAGTTAGGGAAATTCAAGTTTTGTAAATGGTTAAAGTTTTACATGCATTTGGTCCCAGAAGTCTGTTCTCCGATGAACATATGTGTGGGAGAGAAAATAAAAATAGCAATAAAAATAGCTTGCATTACATACAAAGAGCAGTGGTCATTGATTGCAACAGTAGCCAAAATAATTGGAAAATAAATTGAAAACCAAACAATTTGGGTGTTCTCTGCTTGAGTTTCATCCAATGTTGTCAAATTAAATATCTCTAGGGCATCAATTAAACAGATTTTAACTATCCTAGTAACTGTTGTGAGGATTAGTCTGAAGTAAGAAATCCAATGAAAATAATCTATAGAGGACTTTTAAAATCACAGTAATGCTCTTAAGAAAGACTTCTGCATTCTAATAAAAATGTACCTCTTCAGTGCCTTTTGTGTGTCAGATCTGGCTACATCCTGCAATTGACTAATATTACTCCAATATGTTCTAATACTGTAATCTGCAAAAATTTACACGCTGGTGAATTTTATACGTTTGATATTTTCTCTGAACAATACAGGAATAATCTTGGTGGGACTTGGGCTTCAAGCAGTCTAGTTAATCTCTTATATCTTCCTGAACTGCCCTTTCTTGAAGAATTTGTGCGAATACTTATTGAACATGTAGACATGATTTCTAAATATTATAAGGAAAGAGTCAGTGGCTTGTTACTGTGTTGATTGAAAAAGTAGTCAAAAAAGGCTTTTTGAAATATGAAAAAGAATGCAATTAAAGTGAAGTTCTGTTACCATTTTATGTTAATATTTTCTTTCCATGTGTCTCCCTCTCTCTGTTTTTTTTTTTTTTTTAAACAGATCGAAATTCCTTGTAGCCAGAGTAATTACACTGCAGGAATTTCAACTTCCTAAATTGTACTTTTCACAATGCTGTGCTTGAATGGAAGTCCCATGAGCAACAGTGTGCATTGGACTAGAGCCAGAAAAATTTACTTTTAAGATGAATACTGGTTTCAGGACCAATAAAACTGCTAGATGAAAGGTTGGGGAGTTCAGTGGAAAAATGTATTTGGTATAGCTTTCCCTGAGAGTTTGGAGATTTTTTTTTTTTCCTTCTTGAAAGTCTCAGAAGATGTCAGGACTTCTACCCTGAGCAACAGATAATCCCCTCAAGTAACAGTATAGCAGTCCTGTGCCCATAATGTGAACAGAAAGAAAAGGAAGGTTTCTTTATTATTTTCAACTTTGTGTATAGACAGTGACTGCACAAATTTCAAAAAGCAGCAAGTTATTTTGAAATGCTGGAACCCAGAGCAAGAAAACTACATGTGAATCTTGACAGCCAAGAATAAATAAGAAAGATCATGACTACATGAAAGTCTTAAAAAATATGACAACACTCTAAACACTGCATGTCCTTCAATATCTTGGCAAAATATAATCTATGATCAGATAAAGATAGTTGTCTTCTTGATGAAGATGAGTTTCTCTCTCCTTCTCAAAGGAGCAGAAATGAAGAGTGGGGCAAGGTGAAAATGAGCTAGCACACAGTAACTGGTAATGGCTGTCTGATAATTTCTCCTGTAGATAATTACCCCATGGCTGTGTCAAGAAAATAGTTTTATATAGTGGGATCAGCTTCTGTGTACTTTCAGGCTGACCAAACTTGATAAGGTCACTATGTATAAGCAATATATATTAGCTTTAGGGAGATATTTTACCAATTATAATAAAATCCACTCAACTGCTAAATTTTCGGTTGTGAAAATACGTGTTACTGGGAAGTTATTATCTCGCTATTTGTTATATTGCATTATCTCATGGGAATTTCATGAATGTAATGATGATTTGTGCATGATGTAGTATGAACTTTCTTGATCATGTGCAGCCTAAGATACATCTCGGTGTTACTCCTCTTGCCTTTTCTGCAGATTTACAGCATCCCTCAAACTTAATTTGATGATGCCAGCATTATGCACTTAACTGTGTAATCTACCACTCTTCTCTCCCTCCAACTAACAATGCAATTGTAAAAGATGCCCAAAACCTTCCTGATCCTCCTCCTCACATGTTCAGAACTTCCCCTAGCCCATACCAAGGGCTTTTTGAGAGTTAAGCTGTGAGGGAACTCCAGCTCTGCGTCGTGGGGAAGAGACTAGGGCAGCAGATCCTTTCCTTCCTTGGCAGGAAGGGGGCACATGGGTCCCGGGTGGCCAGAGCGTGCTTCGTGTGGTTATGTGGTGATGGTTTGTTGCTCCTCTGGCTGGTTTCCATGTTTCCCGGCAAGCCCTGTGCCAGCAGAGCTTTGTCATGGGCTCGTTGACGTGTCCGGGAAATGGCATTTTTTTTTCAGTTCGCTGAGAGCCACGCTCAGCCGCTTCTGCTTTATAGCTTTGTTTACAGCCTGTGTTCGCTGCGGTTGAGTTCTTCCTGATTTATGTCAGCGTGATGTCAGAGCAAGCTTTTTTCAGTTTGGAGTGCTGTTGAAGTCTTATCTTGCAAACAGTAACAGTTTGCTACTGTCGCTATCTGAGCGTGGTCATTTTTGTTTTCCTCACTCATGTAGTGTTGGTTTATTTTATGTAGTTATGGTCCTACCAGCTGCAAACACCATATTCCGCTTCAGCCAACTCTAGGTTATTAGGTTACGAATGCTAAAAATTATGAGCAGTGCTTTAATTTGCATAGTTATATCCACTCATCATCCAGAGTGAATAAAAGCCAGATTGTAAAATAATTACAATCTCTTGAAGTGGAGCCAGCCTCACAGACCAGATCCATCCGTCTTCATTAATTCGTATACAGTTCTTTTAGCAGAACAAACTTTCTGAAGGTACTCGCATGGGAATGCTGAAACAGCTGCACAACTTTTATTTTGAAGAAAAAAAAGTTGAGCCTTGGAACAGTGTGTTTTAAAGAGAGAGAGAGAGAGGGAGAGAGAGAGAGAGAGTGACTCTGCATTTAAGACTTTGACCAGCATGTGTAAGAAGTGCTCTCATGGCTGGAATAATCTAACAAATTTTTACCTGGGTAGTGCTTGGCAAACCTCCCCCTTTTTCTTGCTCAGTTGAAAGGAATCCAGTACAATTCCGTGCTTCGATCAACTTGACTCCAGTGTTGCACAGCCCGAGCGGTTTGGTAGTGCACGGCCGTGCCTGGCTTCTGTGGCCTCTATGGCCCTTTTCTGCTCCACTGTCAGAAAGAGGGAGGGAGGCTTCCCCCAGCACCAAAATACCATTCTGTGTGCTCTCTGCAGCACAGTAGCTAAGAACAAGTTTCCTGATTGCTCTCTGGTCTTTTTGGTGTTATTTGCTGGAAGAAGTCTTTTTCCCCACTTTAAATGGATGATTGTGTCACAATCAAGAAAAAGCATCTCCAAAGACCAATCTTTCGGTAAGTGATGCTATTACTTTGAACTGAAAACATTACAAATTTTACTCTCTATATCCTATTTGTTAAAGTTCGTATGCAAACACACAAAAAATTGTTCATGAGAGAGTTTAATGTTGCATAGCTTTGTAACATATTAGATGATTTTGTGCTCAGGACTTTTTTTTTTTTTTCACTTGTACTGAGACTTTACAAGTTCTTTTTTTCTTTTTCTCTGTCATCTGCATTTTCTAAAGTTTTGGGTGGGATTGTCTATATTACGAAAGAGGAGCAACATAGCTTTTGAAAACTTTTTTTGTGTTTTGTTTTCTGACAGCTCTGCAGTTCCTCAGTGTATTCTGGAATTATAAAACTGTTTAAAAGTGGAACATGGTTCTTGATTGGTTTAGCTGATTATGTTTGGATGGTAGAATTTTAGTACTTGAAATGATACATGTTTTAGAGTCAAGTAGCTTGCTTGCTGGGCCATGCAGACAAGTGCTTAAAGTACAGCTTGTCTGTAAGACTCTTCTGCTAAGACAGGTTCAAGTTTAAAAAGTAACAAGTTGGAGTTTTTGTGAGGTGGTTCTTCCTACATACGTTAGTTTGATCTATGAAACATTCTTCTGATTATATTTTAAAATAAAACATTGAATTATTTTTACAGATAAGATTAGATCTAGTTTACATGTGCTTTTTACCACAGCAGACCCCTTTCCTTTGGCCAGTCCTAGCTTTAGACCAAGTGACCTTGAGTGGGAAATAATGTTTCTCAAGCTACTGTGAATAAGGGCGCAGTGGTAAGGTTAAATAACCCTGCAGTAGTTCACCCTTCTGTTTATGGCTGGCAACATCTTTAACAAAACTCCAGTTTTTACTGGGTGACAGCAGTAGGACATCGTAACCACAGTGCTGATATGACAAATATAAGACTATAGATGGTCCCAGAGCAAATACAGGATTGTTATTTATTGGATGGCCACTACTGATGTCATCTATTGTGGGAGCACAGTAACAATTGGTATTGCAGCCCCAGAGTAAGTTCAGACAGGTAGTCATGCCAGGATTATGTCCTACTAATGTCCCTTGTGGGGAAGTCTTTCAGAAGCGTTGTGGTTACTTTGCAGAAGGAGAATCTGGACATTAAAAGGTTACTATGGGAGTGAAATGACTTAACCAATAAACTTAAATTTGAATGTTCTGTATGGATTTGCTATGCAATTTATATAATAAATTAGATTAAACATCTTGCACTTTATTAAAGTGGAACTAAGAGTTATTTTACAGAAAGTTTGACTGATGATTGGGAGACATTTGATATTTTCCTCAAGTGATAGATTTTTATTCAAGCTAATAATTTAATTGAATATATTTCTGTTTAAACATCGATAAATATTTTCAAGGATCTATGATAATTATCCCCTGAACTGTAAGTTAAAAAAATATTTTAAATGCAAATTCTTCAAGGTCTTTTGGAACCATTAGAATTGTGGGTGAATAAGTGCATTTTTCAAGATGTGTCTGAGAATCTGCTGTGGCTATTCTAGTACTGGATAGTTTGCAAGAGCTTTCTTAACGGATGTTTCCCTAAACTGTCTTGTGGGAGTGAACTTAATGAAACACAAGAAGTTTCAAAATTTCTTACCAAAATCCACTCTTGCAAATCAGTTCTAAATACAGAACAGCAACTAACTCCTGTTGGCATGCTTAATCCAGAGCAAGAAAACCCCTAATATGGAAAGCCCCCTAAGAGTCCATGGCTCTGCAGTGACTCTTCTGGCAAAAGTTCTCTGTAGTACTACAGTAAATGCTTAAGAAACGTTTCCAAGGTCGAGACCGGCATAATATTTTAGGCAGCAGAAACAGAAAGACAATCTCCGTATGCCGTAAAGATTGTATCATGTACAGTAAATACAGATGCTATCGTAGTACGTTAAAGAGCTGTGTTTTTTAATGTGTGTTCATTTTCCTTATGACTTTGGTAAATATTTCCCCAGTGAAAAAAGTGTTCTTGTGCAAGAATTGTGAAGATTTAGCCTCAGTCTTTTTAATCCTGTAATTTTCTCTCCATATAGGTGAAACTGTTTTACTGGGCTCAAATCTTACATTGATGTAACTGAATCAGTGGTCTAGTTGTTTTTTTCCTCAAGAAGAAAATAAAATATCAAATTACTCAAAATTTATAGAAATATTTATACTTGCCCATGTTTCACCTACAGCCAATGCTAATTATAGTTACTCTTAAAAGCAAATCTTTCTTGAGAGCTGTGTTAGAACTTAATAAGAACACACAAATAGCTTCTTACTTATCAAAGTTACATTTACACTGGATCTCTACTTAAGTTGCCTTGACAGTAATGTGAAAAATAAGTAGAGTATCTATTGTAAAAAATCCCATCAGTGTCACCAATCCTCTACATACAAGTGGGATAGGTATTATGTTTCAAGGACTAATATTCAATTTTTTGTGAGTTATGAATTCACAAAGTAAGAATATAAAAATACTGGGAACCAAGTGTGACTTTTATTATTTGCTACCCAGTAGTGCTTGGAAATAACTAAAAAATCCATTCAGAAGTATAACTGTGTAAAGAAGCCAAGCTTATGAATCACATTGAACTGATTACTAAAGCAAATCAATTTGGATAAAATTTAGTAATTGCATCAGAAACTGACTGTCCAATACTTAGAGATTCCTACATTCCCTGATATCGAAAAGGGCAGACTGCTATAAGAAAAGATACATTTCAACAAGAACTTGTAGCTTGTATATTCACTGGCGATTTTAATGCTAACATAAGTGTCTGAAGAAATTCCATATGTTTAAGAACAGCATCTTGAGCCTGTTTGCTGTAACTGGAGATGGTGAAATTAATTCAAACAAATCAATTTTCTCAAAGCAGTGTGAGCTTCATAACTCTGACATTTAAAACTGGACTGAGTAAAGCCATATAAAATATGCTTTAGGGAACAAATCCTCCCCTGTCAACTGCATAGATAGAGATGACATAATAGATGTTTTAGTTCTCAGATTTCTATGGTTTCTGTTAACATAAGAATCTACGCAGTTGTTAGTTAAAGCGTATACTGAAGCTAACATTTTTCTACACTCTGCTTCAGTCTTATTGGGGGTGGGTTTTATGACTTTGATCTTTCTGGTCTTGACTGTAAATGGAAGCAAAAGAATCTGAGTATCACAAGGCAAGTTGTTCTTTTGGTGTCTCTGCCTTGGCAGGATTCAAGAAACCCTGGAATTATTTTGAGAAATGCATGTTCTTTTGAGATTTCCAGATCAATGGCAGTTGGATAATAACAAAGAATTTGTCCTTGCTGTGTAACTTCTTTGATTTCAGGTTTTTAGGGTCTTTAAAAAATGTTAATGCGTTAGCTTCAAAATACCTCTCTTTTCTGTTCTGCACATTTTCTGTGGTCTCATGCAATTTTGGTTGAGGGTTTTCCCTTAGAGCAGTAGGGACAGGAAAAAAGGGCTCATGGTGCTGAAAGCAAGAGTAAGAACAAGAGGGAAAAACACTTATTTTCCAACTATTCAGGGAGCTCTATTATTCTCTCATATGCAGACACCATAGAAATGGTAAGTGCATTGTACTGTTACTGTTGTTCAAATATCTTTGTTCATTATATGCAAATTTTGTATTAATTAGAATTAACTAGGCTAGACTCTCTGTAACTTCGAATTCTCCTTTACTAAGAAGATGACCCAGTCTGGTCCTTTGGTCTCTTGCTTCTAGTCCCTTAAAATCTATATGAATGATTCATTACTTTATTCAATACTAAAATCCGCTCTAAAATCTAGATGCTGATGCTCGCTGTAATCCACTGGCAGAAACTACTCCAACACGATTGTGACACCACTACAGAGCACATAAGTAATTATATACTGTACAGTATATTGTAAATGTTATGAAGACCTGTTTTCCAGAAAATGTTTATACTGGTGTAATTTGTGGAACAGGAATAATCCATATCAGTAACTTCTGAGGCTGGTTTACATGTGATGTAATAAAATACAGAAGGAGCGTGTTATGCAGCTTCTGGACCTAAGTTTTTGACAGAGACCCTTTTCTTCCTGGAAAAAATATGCTAACAAGTATTTTCTAGTGAGAAATAACCAGCAGTGTAATGCCCTTACATGACTGCTTTTTATTTTTCTTTTTCTCCTTCCCCCCTTCCTGGACACTCAAAATTGGTCCTCATACTATGCTAATGCATTTTTTTTCCCCCCCTGTTTGTGACTTCTATTGTAGTCTCGTTATTCTGTGGCTTCAATATGGTATGTGCTGAAAAGATGTATTTGTGTCTTGCATGGGTATAACTGGTGTTAGTACCATTTCAATTACAGTCTGTAGAAAGAATAACAAATCAGAATAATATGAAGAAACAACTTAGTAAGCAAGAAAAAAAATCATGTACCTGTGGATAGCCTAGGAAGTAGTAGATTTTAACTGCTTAGAAGCTGGTGAAAAAAAGTGTATTTTCTCCCTTCCTTTGCAGTGGCTTTTAAATGGGTCTAAACTATTGTAATTTTTATACTGTGCGTAGGGAATAAGCAGATGTATGGGAAACTTTGCTGAGTTTATGTTGAATTGTGCACTTCAGTTATGATGAATGTACATTATATATCATTATTGCTAGTGATAGCTTAATTGGAAATTAATGTAATATATTAATTTAATGAGTGACAATTTATTCCTGTGGTGTAGGAGGGAAGTGGGCAGGGAAGAGAAGATGCAGTTGTTCTTTGCTTCTTGCTCTAAGAAAAGGCTAGAATGCAAAAAGACAGTGCCGCAAGAAGACCCTGAAATCACAGTCTGATTCTTGGTTGCCCCTTACCCTAATGGTGAAATTTGCCACAACTTCTGCAAAGCTACATATAACCCACAGCCATGGCTGTGCCATTGGTGATGTTCCTAAAGGTATTTTTAGCCTACCTGCCTGCTTCTACCTCTCCCTGTGTGTTTCACTGGCTACACTGGTGGGTAAATACCCCAAAATAATATGTAGTT